GTCGTGCAAAACGTCGTGTTTTGTACTGGATATGAGCATGAATCGATATGTTCCACTTGAGTTGATTTCGACTTGAGTGAAATTCTTTCAACTGATTACCGTTTTTTTTTCGAAATGACACGACAGATAATTAAAATAAGCAACGAGAAATAATTATGAGTGCGACGTTATAAGATATTCCAATCGATCATTTTTTTCTGTTCATTGTTTGTAGCAAATAATTTCAGAATGAGAGTCTCAGTGAAATCGTCCACTGATGGACGTATTGAAATTTTTGATGATGTTGACGCGATGAATTTTCAAGAATTTCGCGTACACATTATTCGACGGTTCTCATTGAGAAAGTAAGACCATTCGAATATCTGCGTTCTGATGAACACTTTCCTTTTATCCGCATATTCTTTAAGTGATCTATCCACTTGTTTGATTCATCAATCGAGTTTCTCTTTCTTCACTTTCCACAGAGATCTCTTTTCTTTACTTGTTCGAAACCGATGGGAATATATACCACCCTTCCAGTGATTTCTCGTTGATGTGCGGTAGTCAGGAATTACCGCGCGATGCTGACACTAAGCTCACTGCAGCGAGTATTGGACTGGTATCGGGCGATCGTCTTAGACTTATCATCGCAAACGAACCGTATGCGATTTTATGAATCATTGGAACTTTTTTTTTTTGTTTTGTCTCCACGAATCCTCAGGCAAACTGTTGCTGTCACGTTGTGATAATTGAGTTGATTGTGGTCATTTTCTGTATAACACAAGCTTTCTCTTGCGTCTGATTGCTGAATCGGAATTGAAGAGATAAACTGGCGATTGTTTCGTGTCGTTTGACAGAGTTCTACGAATAGTATTCTATTGATGGAGTTATCATCGTATCGATCAATTTACTTGTGATGCTTGTTGCTGATTTAGTCGCAATGACTATATAGTTAATCATGGATTCCTGACAATTTAAAAGTTTAAAAGTTTAGTGTATAAAATTTTTGTAGGCTTCAAGAGACCGATACGGCTGCTTTGTTAAGTTATGAACAACGTAAACCGCAATCGCCTTCGAATTCAATGGAGGTCCAAAATGAGTTAGCTCCGCAAGAAGTCAAAACCGAGCAGCAGCAAAATGATTCCCGTCAAGAGGATGAAAGCTCGATCACATCGATCGTCATCAACGAATTGAAGAAAAACGGCTTCTATGTGAGTGCCTGCCTTCCAGAAGGATCGTGCTGATGCTACGAGAAGAAGTTTTTGTATTCTTGTATTCAACTTGTCCACGAAAAAACAACGACGACTCGTCAGATTTTCACTCCTATGCATAGTCTTGAAATTGTGTTTATGCTTATTGTTAGCTTTATTCGTGCCTAGCAATTGAGTTGGGTTTCAGAAAAAAACAAACAAACAAACAAACAAACCTAATGCCTTCTATAAGTAGAAGATTGAGCAAACATGCGAGATGCTCTTGGATGGTTATGCCATTGTTGTTGTTGTTGAATTTCAGTGTAAAAAATTATCGGATGATGGCACACGACTGTTGTTTCGTCATGCAGAAAGCGCGTTGAGTGCTGAAATTGATTTTCATCACTACGAAGATCAACGCGCCAAGTGTTCGCATCTAACAATCAGTGTTATATATCCGACAAGTCGTCAGTTCCTAACACCGGTTGTAATCGACGAAAGTGCACACGAATTGCGTTCGTTCATTGATGAAAATATCATCGCACAACTGCAAAGCGCATTAATTGGACGTTCGTTTCATTTAATTATTCTTCTCTCACTTTGTTTTGATCAATTTTTGTGGCTTAGAATTGGTCGTCATCATATCTTCCAGTTTTCTCTTATGATTCGTTTGGTCAAATTGAATGAATGTTGGTTCCGAATCAGAATCATCTTTTTTGTTTTTTGATACCTGATCAGTATAATGTTCTCATTTGTGCGTCGAATCGTATCCATTAAATGAGACTGATATGAGTTGCTGTGTGGTGTTGATGGAATATGACTATCCACAACAAGCTATCGTCTTAACGAGATCTTTTATTACCATCGACTGAAATAGGTACGATCAGTTATGAGTGAAAGCATTTGCTGTCAGTGTTCGTTCACACTGATCATCCAGTCTGTTGAATGTGTGCATCTTCCACAGTACAGCTTACAATCAAGCAAGGTCATCATCGCATCTACAAAATCTTCACTGCTTCTCAACGCCGGTGCTTTTTTTTGAAAACCTCTTGCGAGTTGCAGATAGAAATCGTTTTCTACGTTTATTGGGACATGAGACGTTGGCTGAACGAATCCTGAAAGAATTGGGCGCAAAAGATGTTCTTCGTTTGGAGTGTACGTGTACACATGCGAATAAAGCGTGCAATATTAATCTTGCCTTTACGGAACGGTTATGGAAACATTTTGTTGAAAGGGACTTCGGAACTGGTAATTCTTAGTTGATTCGAAATTATTACTCGAATATCAATAATCTTTTTGTTGTGTTTTTTTTTTCACTAATTGTTCAATCGTCGATGAGAATTTCGCGTAAAATTTTATTTCAACGAATTGGATTAATTACATCGAATCCCAAGTCCAAAGCCAGTTGTTGACGATGTTCCCTAAAGAGTTGGCTGATAAGGTTTCCTTGAAGAACCAGTCACTACCGAACCGTTTTGCGAATAACTCAGCTTCGATAAGAATAAAGAGATTGCGCGATTTTTTTTAAAGTGCGGAAGTGCGAGAATTTCGATTATATTCACAACTCATGTACTTATGAGTAAGAAAGCAA